AACACAAACCAGTGCGTTTCCATATGACTACCTGAATGATGTCATACAGTCTTTCTGTGGCAGAGTAGGAGGAAAGGGAAGAGGGAGGCCTGGAGGAGTGAACAATGAAAAGAGAAAGGACTGAGACAAAGGAGGCAAAGCAAATGCAACGCTAAAACAAACAGAACTTGAGCAGTTACATTTGTGTGTTTGTTGGAAAGCACAGGAAAATATCAGTTACCCAGCTGATGGCAAGAAAGAAAAAAAGGCCACGGAACCCACACTTCCAACTCACAGGAGTATCGTCCTAAACTCACACAGCTGCATTATTTCAGTAGAAAAGTAGAAACAACCCTGGGCGTTTGTGTGTGTGCACGCTGTATGTGTACTAGAAACTACATCAAAAGCCTACAGGATTGTGCCTTAGACCTTATCCCCAGCACCCCACATGGTAGAAGAAGAGAACAACTGATACAAGTTGTCCTTTGCCATTCACAGTTGCATAAACATAAGCACACATACACAATTTATCAAAATGTAATTTTAAAAAATTTTTAAAGAATATACATCCTGCAGAAAATTCCACAGTATGTTGAGCAAAGGACAATGCATGAAGATAAATCTAGAAGCATTGCAGAGTAAGGACAACACTGGGTGAGACAATTTGATATTTTCTTTTCCTTTGAATAATTCTTTACAAGTTGAGTTTGGCTCTTTTTTAATAGTTACTTAAGAATTAGAGTCCTAGTGGGACTCAGACTGACATAGAAGGAGCAATGAAAGAATGCCATAGGTTTTGAACTCTTGTATGGTTTGGAGTTACACAGATGTATAGATATGTCAAAGTCAGCAATACATACAAAATGTGTTCACATTATTATATGAGAAAATAAAATGCTACACAAACACTGAATTCAGTTAATGAATTATATGTTAGAATACTTAGTGAGACATGTAACAGCATATGAAATTTATTTTAACTAGAAATGAAAATAACATAGGGGCAGGTGAGATGGCTTATTTGTAGGTAACAATGCTTGCCCTCCAAGCCTGATGACCTAAATTCAATCCTTAGTACCCTCAGTAGATGGAAAGAATGACTCCCAAAAATTATCTTCTAATCTCACACAATATTTAAGTAAGACAGACTAGCATATAACAAGTAAGAAGATCTAGCCAAATGTTTATAGTGGATCTTGGTGTTGACTATATACTACATACTTCAAAATTCTTTCAAAAGTTCTGAACGATTGGATACTTTCACAATAAGGGGCTGGGGAAAGTTAAGAATGTAGTCTGTGACAGGCATGAGTACTATTCAGAAATATCTTTAGCAGAAGACATCATGACTGGGGCAGCTCCTGGAGAGGATGTGACATTTAAACTGAGGTATGAAAGACTCTGAGGAGTTACCCCAGCCAGGACATGAGGAAACCCTCGAGACTCTCTTGTCGTCCTCTGAGGCCCTGAAAGCTGAGACACAACATGGGTACAGGGAGGAATGAAGCTCCCTAACCATTGTGGCCTCCCATGGCAGCTAAAACAACTAGAGATCAACAGCCCCAGTATCTCTAATCCCTGAAGTAACAGGGAAAAAAAAACAAAAAAAAACAAAAAACAGGAGTGTGAATAAGGGATGCAAAGTAGTCTACAAACAAATCCACAGAAGTAACATATGAAGTCTGAGCGATCTCTCACCCTGTCAATCATCGGAGGCTGTCTCCTTCTTTAATTCCACATATATTAGGCTTAAGTACCTGTAGTATTTCACATAACTATAGTCATCCCGAAATCACAATATGTTAGCCAAACGATAATGAAAAACATGGTCTTTGAATCAAAGAAATTAACATTAAACCAAAAGATGCTGACACTGAGCAAATGACCAATCTACTCCTTAGTTTTCTATAAATGAAAATAATTCAGTCCGAGAATTGACATTGGAAATAGTAATTCCAACACAGTATAAGATGTACACATGAAAAAAAGAGAACTTACCTCTAAAAATTACAAAATCTGTATTGTAATTATAAGAAAAACTTTAGTAATAAAAAGAAATACCATTTCCAAAGTGGATGGTACATGGAAAAAACATTCCAAAATTGGAGCTACAGCTATATTTAAATAATAATACAACAGTGTCCTGTGGTGATTTCTTGCTTGTACAATTAAAGCCTGTCTGGGGGTCAGAGAATGGAACTTGCCACTAGCTAACCATAGAGGTCTGGAGGTCTGTACAGACAGACAGGAAGTGAGGTAGCTGGGTGGAAACAGGATATAAACAGGGAGAAACAGAAAATGTCTCTCTTCTCTGCTGAGACACTAAGGATGTGAGGTGTGGCTGTGGCTTGCTCCTTCTCTCTGAATCTCAGCATTTCCCTCTCTATCTGACTCAGGCTTTTTATTAGCTAGACCAATTAAGAACTCCATTTACACTGTCCAATAATTCCTTTCCAGCTGTAGCAGCATACAGGTACTTCCAGAAAATAAATACAAACTTCAGAGAGGGAAAGCACAAAAACCTTTTATTTTCACCACATAGCACAAAAAGAGGTAAGAGACAACCACCTATGAACAGGGCAGAGAGTGCACAGCTCATTAGTAGGGTGTAGGCCTTGCAGTATAAGGCCCAGGCCTTGCTTCCCCAGCAACACAGAAGAAGAGAAAGAACACAGAAAGAATCTATGAACACAAATCACAAGAGAAAAGTTAAAAACTGGCAAAAAAAAGTTCAAAGATATGTTTATAATTCTGACCTCCCCCCCCCCCATGGACTCAATGTCTACTTTAACTCTTAAGTGAACTTACTTACAATGGTCATCCAAATCATAATTACCTCAACAATAGTAGAAAAAACCTGATACACCACCAAATGGCACACCCCCGCCCCTCTGTCCACACACACCCACACACACACACACACACACACACACACACACACACACACACACACACCTGAATACTGTGCAATTGATTCTGGAAGACAGCACTTAAAGAAAGGGGTTTCACGGAAGGTTTCTCTGTGATTCAGGAAGGCTTCCCTGGGAAATTCCTAAAGCCTTATAAAACTGATGGACCAACTATTTTTACCATGTTTCATTTCACTTCAAATGTGATGGCTTCTCTTCCTTCCGGTCTGCTGAGCACACTATAAGCTTCTATCTAATAGCCACAAAAGAGAAGAAACATAGGGAAGAGCAAGGAATGGTCAAGGACCCACCCAAGCATGAAAGAAAGGCTCGAATGGAATTCAGATGACCTAAGTAGGAGGGGACACTGAAGACCACAGCTTCCAAACACTGAGGAGCTAAGTGACTGTGGTGGGAGACTGAAGACCAGCTTCCAAACACTGAGGAGCTAAGTGACTGTGGTGGGAGACTGAAGACCAGCTTCCAAACACTGAGGAGCTAAGTGACTGTGGTGGGAGACTGAAGACCAGCTTCCAAACACTGAGGAGCTAAGTGACTGTGGTTAATTGGTTTGCTGAGAAGCCACAGGTTATAAACAAAGGTGGAGGGTAGCAAAGGCTAAGCATTGACACCGATACTTTGCTAAAGGAAGTGTTCTTGAGTGGAAGATGTGTGATTCACAGCATGGCACAGGCATGTGATTCTAGATTATCCTCTAAGCTCTTTTTGTTTTCTAAAATCCCTCTAAACATTACAATAATAATATTGCATATTGTCTATTACAAAATAATATTATCATAGATGGTTGGATAGGTAGTGACATCTAAACTGTAACTAAAAAGAAGCCATTTTGAGTTTGAAGGTATATTGAATAAATCTAAACTACTTTAGGAAAGTCTCAGAAGCCGGTCGAGCTTTCCTTGGGGAATGGGGGATACCAATGATTTCACCCACAGATAGTAGTGTCATGCAACCTAGCAAGTCTCACTGTGAAATTAGTGCTGAAAAGCTTCTAAACATGTTGGCAACTTCAAAGAAGCAATCAGTAAGAGATGCTGTCAACAGATAAAATATTATCTTACATATACTGGTTGTAAATCCAAGGCAGTTTTATAAAACAAACCATAAAGAACACAAAACAATTTAGCCATACCCCACAGAAATGAGACACAATAAGCCAAAAAAACCTCTTCCAATCACAAAAGAACTCTATGCCTAGGCATCTGATAGCTCAGGAGAACACTAGACTGAAGAACTCTATGCTAGCTTGTCCCATTTGTACGACTGTGTTAATGCTGTGATCATATTGGACCAATGTTTCTACATATCATGCCAAATCAAACGCTCTCCCTCCATAGACAAGTAACAAGCCACAGTGAAAAGACGAGGCTACAAAAATATTGGTATGTGGGATGCGGGAAAGCCTAGGCAAGAGACACAGCAATGCTGCGTAGCTCTGGTCCCCTGCCTGTCTGTGGCTTCCATCGAATGTAAACAAGCACTGGTCTGACTCGAGGTTATCATTTGCAGAGCTTTGTTTTCCTTTCTCAGCTTTTCCATTAGCAAACACTGCAGATACAGTTGTGCTCACGAGTACAAGGAATGTGCTTGAAATTTAATATACAACAGGTTTAAAATGTTCCTGGGTTTTCCGTTCACTGCAGTTTAGGATGTCCAGTTCTCACCTCTCGCTTGCTGTTGTATCTTTCCTTGAAAGGCATTTAAGTTGGTATTTAACATTTTAGGAAAAGGTAAAAACTTGAACAAGACTATCAAGCACATTTTAATTTGAATCATGTGTGCTATGCCCTGCACATTGAAACAGACAACATGCAACCGCTCACGTGCAAATACACATTGTACCCAATCTTCAGGACTCTTCAGAAAATTTCATCTTACGAAAGAGCTAGAGCTCAAATCAAATGACTGCAAATCCTACTTTAATAATAGAATATGGTAATTCAAATGATAAATTCTCCCAGAGCCACAAGTAATCAGAAACTGAAAACTATTAAAATATTATTTGCTCTGTGGGAATTCTTATTACACGTTTGCTCAACCGTATCTGCTGAAAGACACAGAAACACTACCAAAGTTAATTTAAGGACTTACCAATTTCCCTTGCAATTCTGACAGCTTCGTCTGCATCCTGTAAAGGCAGGAAATGAGACTCAACATTAATCCCATGAGGCATTGCACAATGTCTTTAGGGCAGTCATATATTGCCCTACTGTCTCCTCTGATTCATTTAATGTTCAATTTTACAACCTTCTAACCCTTTTCATTCAGAGAAATGTAAAATTAATACCATAAGTAGAATGTAAATTCTCCCTTGTCGTTATTATATTAAGAAACTCAAAGCAGTTTGAAATGAGCTGGCAGGAAACATGACCAGAATTACCAATGATTCGGTGCAGTTGCCGGAATTTAACGGCAGAATTTAGACTTTTACAATCAATACTCCGTCGTAAATCAGATCATTAAAGCTTGTCTGCAGCTTGCTTGTCTATTTACACACCGTGTTTTCCTGGATTCTGTCAGCAGGGGGAGTTGACTGTCTATTGTTTGGGAGGAGCTCCATCGATTTTCTAGAAAAAAGTAAATGTCCAGTACCCTTAGGAATTATCAATTGTTTTTAAAAAGACAAAACCACTGTGATTTCCATTATCTTCTCTTATTTTTTTAACCCTTTTCTTCAGGTGTGTATTTTATCTGTACAGTTGTAGCTAGGGACATAAATTAAAACCTTAAATTCAATGAACAAACTGTAGAAGGAAAAAGGTCTGAAAGAGCAAGGGAAGGACTCCTTTCTGAAGCCCAAGACCAGTGTTTACTAAACCACTTGTCATCAATGACACTTGAAACCCTGAGCATCTAAAAACTGCCCCAGCCTAAGCCATTTATCTACCATGATCCTGACATGCGCTGTACAAACTCCATGGACAGATGTTCCCTGTGCTGATAAAGAGAATTCTGAACTTCAAGCCACTTTCTCAATTCGATTATTTTTTGTAACCCAGTGACACAATATGAGCTGCCAGCCACGTTCTAAAACCACCAGTGGATAAGTATGCAGAAATTTTTACACAGCTTCAAAACCTTCGAGTGAAGCCTGGCATTTTTTTAAGCTTTTAAATTACTACATTTAAAACAAAGAGCAATCACAACAGAATGCTCCTCCAACTGGGACTGGGGAAATAGCTGGTTCATTTATGTCCACTTTAGAAAAAAAGAAAAGAAATTCTTCCTTAAAAGTCTTCAGTACCCAACAGCATCCCTGAATAAGGAGGCTGGCAGGGGAAGTTGTCAGAGAAATTTAATTTCCTTTCATTAGCCCGTCTGCTCCACACATAGGAGCTTGTTAAGTTCAAAGCAATCCTGAAAACGACATCAGTTCTAAGTCTTTTTTTCTCCAAGCAGTCACATCTGCTAATGAGATTTTCCAAATAACAATTGTTTTCAAGTCAGAGATAAATCTCTACCTAGCCCAACCCCTCAAAAAAACTTAGGGTTTACTATCTTCCTACACCTTGCTCTTTGCACTGACTCCACACTCTCCAAATTTTAGTTTAAAGGGATAAAAATCCACGGAAGGGTCATTTAAGAATGTTCATGGTTTCCACACACTGAGTTGGGAGGTTCTTTGTTCCAGCCAGTGACAGTTATTGGAGAATACTTGCCTTTAACAGCCTCTCGTCAGGAAGTGTTAAACCTGCCAAATGTGAACAATTAGTGCCTCTTGAACAAAATACAGGAAGAGTGAGGGCTGATGAGGACGGGATTATAATCAGCTAGAAGGAAACTTTTAACATTTCAGTCCCTGTGGAATGGTGTATTTGCCAAAGATGGTCTCAGAGAAATTAAACTGCAAGCTAAAATGCTTGGGATCCAGGGACAGCCAACAGGCAAGGTTAAAGGACAGTACCCAGAATCCACTTCTCCTATTTTGTCATGTATTTATATATGTACATGATGCACACGTGTTATGTTTTACATGTAAGGAGAATTATATTTATGCACAGCAAAACTTCCCAAAACCACATATATGCCATAAAACAATCTCTCTTTTTTTTGGTATTTTTGATGGCTGGAAGTTTATTTTAATTCATTTTATTAAGTACATAATATTTATGTTTAAATAAATTAAGGTACAACAGGGCATTCGGTGAGGACTCTCCTAGGCACACCCCTGGCCTTTTTCCATCCCATCTCCTTCCTGTCTCCTGGTTCCCTTCCTACTGCAGCATTCTATGTACCCTTTTGTGGACTACTGTCATATCCTATGAATATAAAGGAAAAACATACATGCTACAAAACAAACTTAACTTTTCACTAAGCCATATGTTTAAGTTTTCCTAGTATGAAAATCAATTTCTGCAAAATGAACTTTCAGATAAAATCAAATTGCCTTAAAATTAAATTTTCATTTGTCATTCATTAAGCCAAAAAAAAATCACTGAAGATTTATTGTGTACTAGACATTATAAAAAACATTACTAGTGTTTTCAAAAATACTAAATGCACTCAACACATTTAGTTATATCATGGGCTACATAAAGCTTAATTTGAAAAGATAAAAATTCTAGACAGTTCCTAAGTCAATGGCACTAACATATGACACCAACGAACCTCCTTACAGGGCTATGGATAGAATAAAGCACTTAATAAAGCTTTGAACGACTCACCAATTAGTCCCTGACTAACTTCAGAAGAAAAAAAAGTCTAAAGGAATATATAAAACACACCCAGCTCAGCAGCAAAAGTTACACAGAGATCCCACTGTGGACCCAGCAGGCTGATGTGACAGAGGTATAAGCTTAAGCAGCCCTTCACACTACATTGCCAAAGCAAGCACACAGCCTCTGTGCAGAGAGCTGCTGGTGCTTATCAAACTTTGAGAGCCTGTCTCTCTTCATCCACAGATTTTACTTGTAGAAAGTTATCCTATGGATGCCTCTTTTCACATGCATAGAAAAAAAAAACTTAGGAAGAATTTATTATTTTCAATTGTGATGTTTTGAGAGGCAAAACGTCTAGGAAAACAATTTAATGAACCTTCAACAGAGGACTAATACATGAACAGTACAGTGGTTGAAATGGCATACCAAATAGCCATTTAAAAGAATTAGGATCCATATGATTTAGACACTAATCCAATAAGTGCTTCCTAGCAGCAGTATGCAATCTGGTTTCTGCCCTTTGGAGTCCTAGCCCATGAAGAGAAAAAGAAAGTCAAGCAGACAAGCAAGTCAACTGAGAACTGACATGAACATTTCATGGAAACAGGCAAAGTAAGAGGAAAAATTGTTTTAGGTTATCCAAAAAGGATCTCCTGAGGCAAAATCTGAAACCTATGGATAAAAACAGCTCAGTGTTGTGGGAAAACAAAAAGAGAAAGAATATTCAACAGAGACCCAACATACAATGAAATCTTAATTACAAAGGAACTTAGTGTGTTCTACTAACAGAAATGGGCCCAGGATGGAGAAGACCAGTTATGGTGGAAGGCAGGACCATTCCTGGCTGGGTCTTCTGTGACAGCCCAGGAACTCAGAAGCTTCCTATGAAGGAAGATAGTGAATTGGGCTGGGCTTTCAGAGGACAATTCTTAAACCCAAGAGATGCAGGACAAACACAGTACATCCAGCAGCAGCACACTCCATATGGCTTGCAGGCTTCTGAGGGTACAGTGGAGTGTCTATGCAGACAGTTTAAATGCTCAGCAACCCTGTCACAAGCTGGGGTGATGGGGATGGGCACTTAACACTTACATTCTTAGGAAATGCTTGAAGATTTACTGTAAGGATTATGATTCCATCCTGCATAACACTTTCATGGTTTAAAACCAAAATCTGCCATGCTTAAAAGGTTTTTTTTTAATTATGCAACAATTGTCAAGGCATTAAATGTTATCAAAACAAATGAGTAACAAGGTATTGTGGCACATTCCTATATGTACAGGAGGTTGAGGCAGGAGAATGGTGAATTCAGAGCCAGACCATGTCTCAAAAGTCTAAAACAAGTCAGAAAAAGGAGGAGGAGGAGGAAGAGGAGGAGGAGGAGGAGGAGGAAGAAAGAAGAAGAAGAAGAAGAAGAAGAAGAAGAAGAAGAAGAAGAAGAAGAAGAAGAAGAAGAAAGTTTTCCTAAAATCCTCTTAAATCTTTTCATGGCAGTCTATTGCCTTAGAACAAAGTTCAGACTCCTAGACCAGGCTTCAATGCTTCCTCATGCCTGCCCAAGCCCCAGCACCAAGCCCAGTCCATTCCACCTAGCCAGCAGCCTCACCCCAAGCCATACCCCCGACCCCAGCTTTTGAATAACCTGTTGGCTAAGCTCAGAGAGATATTCTCTTGCCTTTCATCAAGTCACACTTTCTAAGACTGGCCACCAACAAGACTCTAGAAACACGGAGAGATGGCAGGCACCACCCCAGCTCTCATGGAACTCAGAAGCTAGGAGAGCAGCAAGACCTTAGATACGATATACAGTAGTTAAAAAACAATGTTGTGATGTGTATTCCACAGAAGCAATAGAAAGGAATTGTGATGTTGGGACATGTTACTCAATCACAGATACCTAGAAGTCCTCTCAGATGCTTCAACAGAGGGCTAACAAATGACAGCAGAGGGGAACACCAACTGCTGGAGCCTCAGAGAGATGGAAAGTACCCACAGGCCATGTTTTAAAAAAAAAAACACTCAACAAGGGGCTGGAGAGGTGACTCAGCAATTAAGAGTACTTGTTGATAATCCAGAAGACTGGAGTCCAATTTCCAGCACCCACATGGTGGCGTACAACCATCTGTAACTTTAGTTCAAGGGACCTGATGTGTCCTCTTCTGGTCACACAGGCAACATACTGCATGGACATACATTCGAGCAAAACATGTACCATGTACATAAAATGAAAATTTTGTAGAAAGAAATTAAGGAAGAAAGAGAGAGGAGGAACGGAAAGGGAAAGGAAGGAGGGAGGGAAGCAAGGAAGGAAGGAAGGAAGGAAGGAAGGAAGGAAGGAAGGAAGGAAGGAAGGAAGGAAGGAAGGAAACAAGCTCAGCTTTAGCCTAGGAGTAAGGAAATGGAGGACTTCACTATGGCTACCTTTTGTGGAGTTAGTGAAAGAGATGACCTATGATCCTCCTGCCTCAGC